CTGATCATTTATGTATACATTTGTCTATATCTATCTCGATTCGTTTTGCCTGTTACAAACAACCGTTATGTGAACAAAGTTATAATACCCTTGTGCACAAGTGCGCTCGGGTATAAAAATTAAGGGCCGAACATACTTTGTATGGAAGAAAAAAAATTTCCAAAAATCAACGCGATTTTCTAGCAACCTCAAACTTGCACTTTGTTATACTAAAATTGAATGAGCTATGAAACTGCATACTTAGAATTTGTCTAAAAAATCTGGATAAAAACTTGCAAATTAGTATGTAAATTTATTGAATTTTTCTGAGTTTTGCAAAAAGTTTAGAGATTTTATTTTTATGTTTTTTTTGTGTAGAATTAAATGTATTTTTATAAAAAATGATCGAAAATAAATTAGAATAGAAAACTTTGCATATATTGCGGAAAATCCACTGTGCCAATACTTTTGTTCGTCACTGTATGTACATATATGTACTTAAAAATTATTCAGTAGCTCAAAAGTTCTTAGTTCATTGTTGAGTACAGTTTTTTTTTTATTGCACATCTGCTGATCATTTATCACTGACAATTATGTACTTAAATAGTTAAAAGGCAGTAATATATTTTATGATAATAGCAATGCTGGATTTGTACCTCGGACAGCGTTAAATTCATAGCGATAATTAAAGTAACACCAAATGTGAAATGAAATGACTTAATTAAAAAATTAAACAAAAAATTTATGAAAGCACTTGAGGTGACTAATTTGGTAAAAAAGAAATGAAAATACCTGCGCAGTTTGCGTGCCATTTTTTTCATGAAATATTTTGTTAATTGCTCATAAAGTCTTTATTAAGTACAACTTCTGAAGTACGTGCAATGAGATGTCTGTCTATTCTAATGCTTGAGATGAATGGTAATGTTTATTACAACGTCACTTAAAGCAATTCGTTGTCCATATTTTTGCTAAGTGTTTGGCCAAGCTTCTTCTGGATANGAATGAGATGTCTGTCTATTCTAATGCTTGAGATGAATGGTAATGTTTATTACAACGTCACTTAAAGCAATAGATTCGTTGTCCATATTTTTGCTAAGTGTTTGGCCAAGCTTCTTCTGGATATTATCGATGTAAGTTCAGGCCCGAAAATTGTATGGCTGAATATCTTAGTTGTCGTGTGACTTTTTCAATCTCATTTGGGAAAGCGCTATTTAATCGCCACGGTACAACCGATAGCCAAGTACGATGCTGTTCGTGTTTGGAAATGGATATAAGTAGTCTTCCCGAATTTGGTTAACAAAGAACAATGGAGTGATCTAACGGTGCACCAAGCGACGACAAAGAGCATACAAAGAGACTTCGTACGTTGAAACAGAAGTACTTAAGTCGAAAGATCACTAAAAAGACGAATGGCAGAAGCACTTGTCTATGCTTAGTAGCCGAGCAAAGAGACAAGCAATTTGACTTAAAATTACACCTGGATGTCAACGAAGCAGCAGAATTCTCTGCTTGAAGACTATCATAAGTATAAATGTGAGTTTTGAGAATTTAGGTTTCTATTGTTACTAACGGTTGGAGTAAACGGTATTGCTCAACTTCATATTTTTTTGTCGGAACTAGGCACAAAACAACGCGTGCGAAAATCCCATTGTCCATTGTTGTCCCATTTAATCTGTTTTAAATCTGTACGATTTACGAAGAGCTCAGGTGTTCGTCTCTCAACACGTCGCGGCCAAACACCTCATACCTAATTCTTGAAAAGGTGGGGTAGAAGCATTAAAAGTGTTCCACCGTCTCATCCTATCACAGTCAGGTGTGCAACGTGAAGTGCCCAGTCAGCAATCCAAAAAGTTGTCTGCAGTCCCGTCTGCTCAAAAAGCTAGATACACCCTCCTGAGATTGAAGGCAACATGCGTTTTTCCCAACTGCAGCCCCGCGATGTTTCCCAGTCATTGCTGAGCGAAGTACTCACCCAGTTTATGATGGTAGCTTCGATGGTCGAAGTGGGGATTAGAGTGCCAGTTCTGAGCCAACTCTTGCCAAATGGTTAGACGTCTCATTACAGGGTATTGCCGACTGACCCAGAGAAAGCTCGTTATGTTTGTCAACATAATTTAGTCGAGACTTGCACTGCCGAACTAGTTCGGAAGCAGTTAGAGGACTGGCCACTTCTTTTTCAGTCCATGGCCTGGAGGATAGCAAATACCTCAGCCTGGAAGACCGAAGCATACTCACCAAGAGTCAAGTGAAGCTCAACTCCATTAATTTCGATAAAGACCCCAGATTCTGACCCAGAGTCAGTTTTGGTGGCTCAGTGCTGGTATTAAACTAACATTCAGGATCCCCTTAGGTGACAGACCCCACGTTTTTCCAAAGACATGTTTACACTTCCAAAATGCTACCAATACTTTTGAGGTATTGCGTTCCACGTGAGATTTCCACGATAGTTTTGTACCTAGAATTACTTCTCGATACTTTACTTCGGGAGAAGTCTGAATTGTGACTCATTTCAGTGTGAGCAGAACGAGACCATCCGACCTTCTCGTTCTAGTGAATAGCACAACATTAGTTTTGGTTGGGTTAGCGGTGATTCCAATTCCATCACACCAAGTGTCAGTCTATCCCGCAGCGATGGTCCCGTGCCTGGACAGGTCATCTCGTCCGCATAGGCTTGAGCACAGATATCAGAGGGATTAAGAGGGACAAGAGAGAATCAATTACCAGGCACCAGAGCAAAGGGTAAAGCACACAACCGTGAAGGGGCAGTCCATGCTATCTCTGCTCGTGACATATTGACCCCTTCTGCCTGAATCCTTATGACACGCTGCGCCAGCATTGAACTTCATATTACACGCTGCTACTAGTTTTGCCGGAAAATCAAAATCAGACTTGAGATAATGTGTCGATACCTCTCTAGCAGTTCTTTTTCAAGATTTGGCATACAATAAATGCCTAATGGTAGATATACTAGCTCTAAAGCCATGCTGATAAGGTCCAATCAGTTCATTGAATCTAGTCTTTCACACAACTCGCTCGGTAAGACCTTAAAGCCGATGCTTAGAAGGCTGACCACGCGGTAGCAGTCGCGTATTGCGGTGTTGCCTTTGTTGTGGATTGGGCAGAGCAAAGTTAAGTTCCAGTTATCGTCGTCATTGACTGGGCGTTCCATTTCAATTTAATTAGGTTCTGGGCATCGGTCACTTGGTCGTCTTAGTTGTTCTTACGAGTATTTAAATTGTTCTAGAAACCCGCCGTAAGCCGTCTGTTAAATATTTGTGAGTTATTCTATTTAATAAATTTTCTCAACTTGAAGAGCGACTTTTTTATAAAGGTACGGGAATGGTTATGCTATTGAAGCACCTACACACTGTATGACAAAGACTAATTACTCCCTTGTGTTGAATTGTGATGACTCGCACTTGTAACTTCTCGTGTATAATGAAAACTAGTACACATTTGGCCATACTTTTTCAATATTCTTATTATTAAGTAAAAATTTACTATACTCTTTGAACTAAAGTTATTCTTTTAATTGTAAATAATTCTTCTATTTAAATATCGCCTTCTCCAGTTTGCTCGGTGGTGTCTACGACAGATGCATTCGATGAGGCTTTAGCTGAAACCTTTTCCAAGGGCTTTGCGAACAGCACGGACTTAGTACGGGCTGTACGAGAATCAATACGACAACACGAGCTGCTGCAGAAACGTAGTAAACATAGCAGGTATGTAAATAAATATTATTTTACAACTCGGTTGCAATATGAACAATACAACGATCTCTCCTCCAGATCCAAACGCGCCGTTAAGCGTGTTTGTTATGGCGAACTCGGCTGCTTTGAGGACTCCGGCCCTTTCGCTTACTTGGAAATGTTGCCTTCGCCGCCGGAGGACATCAACACCAAGTTCTATTTTTACTCCACAAAAAATCGTTCCGAGCGACCACTTATGGAGTTGCCTTTCCTCAATATGACCGATACCTTTGCTAGCGTCGCAAGCAGTTCACATTCGATACGACGCAGAGCAGGCTCAGTGAATGATACAGCCGCCACAGACACTTCAGCTACAACCACTACAACTACAACGACAACAACAACCACTACACAGCGTAGCGTCTTCAAAAGCACTCCATTGACGCTGGACGAACTGCATGGTTTCGATGAGCTCTCGGTGCGTGTTATTGTGCACGGTTTTGGTTCGGCCTGTCCGCATGTGTGGATCTATGAAATGAAGACGGCTCTAATGGCGGTGGTAGGCAATTGTCTGCAATAGTTTTAAGGTGCAAATTTAAATTTGATTTTCTTGCAGGAAGACTGTATTGTTATTTGCGTGGATTGGGAGAACGGCGCTACTTTCCCGAATTACGTGCGTGCTGCAGCCAATACGCGACTGGTCGGCAAGCAATTGGCTATGCTTTTGCGGAATTTGCAGGAGCATAAGGGTCTCAACTTTACTAGAACGCATATAATTGGTTTTAGTTTGGGTGCGCATGTGTCCGGCTTTGCCGGCGCAGAGCTGCCGGGCTTAGCGCGCATTACTGGTCTGGATCCGGCAGGTCCACTCTTCGAAGCACAGCACCCGAAAGTGCGTCTGGATAATACGGATGCGGAGTTTGTGGATGTGATACACTCGAATGGTGAGAACTTAATACTCGGTGGCTTGGGTTCGTGGCAGCCGATGGGACATGTGGACTTCTATCCGAATGGTGGACGTGTGCAGACGGGTTGCTCGAACCTATTCGTGGGCGCAGTGACGGATTTTATATGGTGTAAGTAATTGGAACGCATACTATTTTTCTTTTGTTTTTAAGCATTATTTGCCTCTTTCCTATAGCGGCTCAAACGGCTGACGAGGAAGAAGGTCGCTCGCTTTGCAACCATCGGCGTGCTTATAAATTCTTCATCGACTCTGTAGCGCCCCGCTGCATGTTCCCCGCTTATCCATGCAAAAACTATGACGACTTTATTAAAGGCGAATGCTTTCCTTGTGCACAGAACGATGAAGACATCGCTGAAGGTGTGCCACGTTGCGGCAATATGGGCTATTATGCAGATCGTTCTACAGGGCGGGGTCAACTTTATCTGCTGACACGAGAAGAGGAACCCTTCTGCGCACATCAGTTTAAGCTGGAGATATTCAACTCTTTCAATGATCTGCCGCTAAGGACCATTGGTCGCCTAGAGGCCACGCTCGAAGGCGAAGGCGGTCTGAACGAAACATTCAAGATATCAGAGTGAGTTCTTTGTTATGTTTACGCTGCTTGTGGTCTAACAATCACCCTTAATCTTTTTTTGCAGGAAAGATGACTCAGAATTTTTCGCTGGCGATATTGTTTCGANTATTGGTCGTTTAGAGGCCACGCTCGAAGGTGAAGGTGGGCTGAACGAAACATTCAAGATATCAGAGTGAGTTATTTGTTAGATTTACGCTGCTTGTGGTCTAACAATCACCCTTAATCCTTTTTGCAGGAAAGATGACTCAGAATTTTTCGCTGGCGATATTGTTTCGAAAATCATTGTGCCACACCCGGCTTTGGGCTTTCCAACTACACTTAGTTTACACTACAAATCATATAGCGGTTGGCTGTCCAAAGGCCTGCCGCATTGGGATATCGATAAGGTAGTGTTAACAGACAGCTTTGGTCGCAGCCACTCACTCTGTAAGCCTTCAACAAAGCTCTCATCCGGCACACCAGTGCGCCTCAAACTGCTCTCGGGAAATTGTGAACTGGAGAATCAAGAGGAGTATGGCACTTATAATGTGCCCACCACTTCGGTGCCGGACTCTAGTGGACAAGAGAGCGCGGACAATGCGGAAACCGATAGCATAGATGCCGCCAAGCAAAGCAAAGATTACTTTAATCTCGGTACCAGTTTTCGACTGGACCAGAATAAATCATATGTTGACAACGATCTGCCATGGCAACCCATTTTCGAGGGTTCCAATGCGCTGGACAAAGACGTGGGCGAGTCGAGTCGCAGTCTTTCGGTTGAGCCAACTGAAATTTTCGAACCAATTCTGAACGATCGTCGTCTGGGCCTAAAGAATGCGCGTAATCTGCAAGAATTTGGTATAACTACAGAAGAGATAGTCGAACCTGTTTTAAAAGCGACCACGCCACGTGTAAAAAAGGCAAAGGAAATAGTTTTTACCGAATCACCGTTAACCACAAAGAAACCTGAAATCATTAAAATAACACCGCTAGCTGTACGTAATGAACCTGAGCTACCCAAGTCTACTTCACAAGACGAAACCATCACCGTGCAGTTGCTGCCCTTCCGCCTCGGTGATTTGCTTCAGCGCGCCGAACGCTATGCACGAGAGACACTATTGCCGTTAATTTCTGTGCAGGCACCGAAATTCTTCGGCTTCAATGTCGGTGGTTCAACGACTACTGGCAGTGACGAGCCCGCTGCGCTCAAAGAAGAACCACGTAAGCCACGCTACATACCACGCTTTGAAGAAGCTTCTTTTTTACGCGAAAAACGCGTAGAGAAAAATCGCACTGCACGCAAGCCGATAACAGATCTCACGCCCGCCGAATCGAGAACGCAACGTAACATTTTCAAGCTGATAAGATCGGATCCAAAAGAGGGTGTTGCGAAGGTTAGTGATGGCACTACCAGTAGTGTGCTTCGGCCAGCGCAAAGGCGTGCTCTCAGCGATATTACTTACTATACAAATATAATGCTTCCCGAGTCGCGTGCTTTGCGGCCGGAAGATCCCAGCTATGAACCGATATTCATAGAATTACCCACCTATAAGCCAAGCAAGGCAGCGCGTAGCACGCAAGGAAACGAAAAAGAGGTGGTTGAACGAAAACCTTGAAACTTTNAACTAACTGAAAGCAACGTTAAAAAAATACGGAACTTATAAAAAAATGATTAAAAAAGAAATATATGAAAGCTCTACTGGCCGTGGGACTCGAACCCACGACCCTGCGGCTCGTTAATCTGCAATACTGCCGTCTGTGAGGGCAAAATTATTGTGCGCATTTGTTTGCTAATTTATCTGCATAAGCATGCCCGTCTGTCTCGCGTTTAATTTCCAAGCTTAACTCGGATCACGGGAATTTTCGATGATAACACTGAGCAAGACTCAGAGAGCGTAGAATGCAGAGAATATGCACGACTTTTCATGAGTAATGTAGTTACCATACTAATTCAGATAGGATTCCAATTTAAATTGAATAAGAGCTTATTTGAAATCGTATGGTGACTGCATTACCGATGACAAGGTGGGTGTGCATTGTAATTTTACATTTTCTTTGTGTTCTACATTCCCTGAGCAAACAAAGCATCCGCGGTAGCCGAGTGGTAGGAGCTCCTTACTGCAAGCCTGCAGGTCCGGCGGGAGCGATAGGCTTTGAGATATCCAAGTTTTGCATAAATATGTAAATCAGGGTGCTTCAAAGAGCACCAGTGGAGTTTTTGGGCAGTAAGCCCAAAGCTGGCTCAACGTTAATCCTTCGAAGGCGAAGCTTTTAATATTCACCACAAAGAAGAATATTCCTAATGAACACAAAATGCGCTTCGTTGGTTTTTTGGGTAGCCGTAAAGATGATAAGCACAATGCTAGGCACGGTCTAATTTGCGACATCGCTAAATTCTCATAATTTCCCTATACTTTTTATAGCCCCATCTCTTCTTTTTTTGGTAATTCGAAAAGTCGGACCAAAGATACAATACCATTTCGTGCTCATGAAAGATATAATTAAGACGCATGGCTACTTACAACTTTCACGTGAATAAAAACACAGAGCTCATAATTTTTTAAATTATTTTTTGTTATATTAAGATTTATACCAAATTTTCATTTTGGTTTTTAAGTTTGTCATTATTTCTATCACTTTTCTAGTGCGTTTACAATTATTATTTCTGTATACATTTAATAAGTTTCAAATTACTTTACTAAATTTTTTAAATTTATTTATGTTTGTATTTATTTTTGTATATTTTATTTTTTATTTTTACAAATAAGTACGTAAGTATGTATGTAGTATAAATTAAGAGAGGTATGGTATTCAACTAAAAAAGCCTTTAAAAGTGTCAAAACTTGTATTAACTATGCTGACGACTTTCGAGTTTTCGATTCAAGAGAAAATGCTAAATGATTTTGAACAGAAAAAAAAAAATTAAAAATGAAAATTGCTTGCCACTCTTATTATAAATACGAATTTCGAATTAAAGATTTCTCCTAATTTATGCCTTTATTATTATAATTTTTAAATTCTTGTTTTTTAATTTTTTTTAAGAAACGATCCATCGCCTCATGCCTTCAGTATAGGCGCAACAAAAAACCAAAAAAAAAAAAAAAGTTTTAGTTTAGCCTTTTAATAAAAATTCTACGTACTTGTTATTGCTCACAATCCTTTTTCTTGTAAAAATTAGTGGAACATATTTCGATACTCTTAAAAATTTGTAACCAAAATTGTAAATTTCCTCAATAAGTAACGCCAGCGTCACAGTCATATTTCTTTAATATTCAATATTTCTGTTTTCACATTTTACTTTTCATGATTTTCTTATTAAATATTTTATTACTGCTGCTCACTGCAAATTATTAACTTAAATTTTATTTTTTTTTTGTTTGAATATTTTTTTTTTTATATTTTCATATATATGTTAAATTCCTTAATATCGATAAAGTAGCGTATGCTTATTTATTTGTGTATTGTATACTTATATATGTATATGTATGCATGCTAATTTTTCTCGTTAATTTCAATGTGGCCATACTTTACTTGTATTTTCTTTAATAATGTTGCCGCATGTCAATGCTACGATTTATTAATATGCATTTCGCTAATAATTAATTAAATGTTTAATGGATTTACATAGACATACATGTATAGATATTTATATACACATACTACATTTGCACAGTATTGGACTTATCTATAGCACCCCCATTTCAAAGTAATATTGGTTGTCACTTATGATTAGTTATTAATTTGTAAGAATTTTCAATTAAAAAACGATTGATTCTCTAAAAAAATCCATATAAACCCAAGTTTTAAACTTTTTAAAAGATGGCAAAAAAGAGCAACGAATTTTCACCCAAATTTCAAACTTTTTTCTCAGAAGCTCTAGAATTTTTTGAGTACACAGTTTTATAGCCCATTTAATTTTAGTCTAATTATGTGCAAGTCTCAGGTCGCTAAAAACTACCGTTGATTTTTTAGAAATTTTTTTCGTCGCATTTGCTTCCATATAACGAATGAACACAATTTATTTTTATATGGAAGAAACACGCTACACCTTCGGCGTAAGAAATTCTAAAAAATCAACGGTAATCTTTAGCGACTTGAAACTTGCACATTTCTAACTAAAATTGAATGGGCTATAAAATGGTGTACTGAAAAATATTTTAGCGTTTCTGCGTTTTTCTATTTTAAAGTTTTAAGCTGGGATTTATATGAGTTTCGTGAAAGAATGTATTTTAATTGAAAATTCCTAAAAATAAATAAATAAACATGAGTGGCAAACAATATTACTTTGAAAAGGGGGTGCATGGTATTGGCCAATACTTTGTATTCATATGTAATGTGTAGCTGCACTGGCACGCCTTAAAATAGCTGCCAATTATTTTGTTTCCTTCTGTGCTTCTTTGAATTCTTACACACTTGCTATGCATTTGAAGAGATCGTAACATTAAAAATTTATAAACTAACATACATTTGTTATATACATAAATGAATATACTGAATACGTACTTAATTATTTATAAACTTACTTGCTTTATACATACTTACATTTACTTATACATTATTGTGTGTACATTAGGCTGCATCACTCCACATACAAAAAAATTGTACTATTTTTCCATGGGAATTATAAAATTTATAAGCCTTCCGCCAAAGTATTTTGAAAAAATATGAAGAAAAAAAAGAGTTTAAAAACATAAAAATTACCTCTGATGATAGAAAAGTTTAAGCTTAGGAGGTCTGCACAAAAAGCTTTAGAAATTGTGTCAAAGTAATCCAAATAATAAGATTTTTCGAGGTATGTATATTAAAATCGGTTCAGCAATATTTTGGTGAAAGTCTCCAAATATCATACATTTTATATTTCCGGTGAAAAACCGCAACTTTTTTTGGTGCGGCACCCTAATGTACACATGTATGTATGTTTCACTGTATGCTGGAAATAAGTGAACTATTTTTAAGTTATTGTTGCCTTTATAGGCATGTACACATGTATGTATTATGTTTCAAATGCATCAACAAGTATATGTGATAAGTACAAGTATGTAGGATTTATTTAGACTCGCATGCAGAATTATGAAGCTATATGTAGGTCAAATTTAAATCTTAAATTACACAGGGCAACAAATTAAAAAACAAAAATTCATGAAAAAGTGTGCCTACCTGACAAACTTTGCCGAATACAATACAGGCTCTAAAGCGTCTGCGTTTTTCTACTTACATATTGAAATTTGAGCCAAAAGTAGAATATACTCGTATTTGTTGAAAATATAATTTTTGTCCTCAGGTTTCCTGAGTAAAATTGAGCGAGCAAGTTTTTGTGGAGCGTTTTTACTCTCTAACTTCCTGACTCTTACCGTAACGCGTCTTGTGCAAGGGCGGGAGTCTACACTGAGGAGATCGAGTTAGGCAAATTTTCTTATGAATAAAAATTAAGCAATTGCTTTTTCTTAAAATGTCATACCTTTTACTTAAATTTATTTCAATAAATCGAGTGAAAAGTCTGCAATTTTAAGAAAAAATAATTGCTTACTATTTATTCATAGGGTCCCACACCTCTAACTGAACTTAAGCGATCCTGAAATTTTCTAGAAGGTCTTTTGATTTAAAGGTATCTACTCATTTTGAAGAAGAATTTTGAACTTTGAAGAAAAAACTACTTTGTAACTAAACTTTACATAAAGTTATGTTAAAGTATTTTAGCTAAATTCTAATTTATTTTTTATTTAGTGTTTGCAAAATTTTTTTTCTTTAAGTTAATTTTTGTTCCACAGTGTTATAAGTATTTGTGCAAACATATAAAAAAAATAGAACCAAACATTTTTATAAGTTTTTGCTTTTACAATTATGTAGCCCCAAATATCACCTTTAAAACGAGACCATAAGCAAAGTCGGGCAACATATGAAATCGTAAAAAGACAGAACTTCGTTATATCATAAAAGAAAAGTTCTGACTAAAATTCATTCAAATCAAAAATGGTCTACTCCAACGATTAGAGGATTTGACACGGATTGACCCCTATACATATAAATATGTGTTACTTATGTATTTAGTTGAAAAAATGTACACTAGGGGGGGGAGGGGGTAAAAAAAATTTTAATGTTCTCACCCCCTAGGATTATTCTATACCGAAAAATATACCGCTTTTTTATTTTGAAATCAAAAAATATTTAGAGATCGCTCAAAGCACTCATAGTTTTCCATGTATTTTATATAGAAAAAACACTTTTTGTAGAAATGGCATAGAATTCTTAAAAATCAATATTTTTGATCGGAAAACTCTGGTTCTCTTCAGGAGACTTCCAATAACAATACGCAATTGCCGATTTAAAAATTTTTTCATACTAGTGATCTTTTTATGTATGGGTCCCCCCATTGCATTTTAAGAGTTTTTTGGCGGATTTATAAAATATAGTCACTAAGAAAAAATGGTTAAACAAATAATTGGGTATTAGTATTGGGAGTCTCTTGAAAGAAAACAGAGTTTTCCGATCGAAAAATATAGATTTGCAAGAATTCTAAACCATTTCTACGAAAAGTTGTTTCTTCCCATAAAAAAAAAAAATGGAAACCTATGACCGCTTGAACGACATATAAATGTTTTTTGACTAAATACTAGAT